AAAAAATTGATCATGATCACAATAATTTACCTCAAGCCAAGTTGGTCATTAGAAGTGAGATGCATACAATGAAAATAGCAACGAATGAAATTCTGAGCTCAATATATTAGTTACATACGAATATCACATTTTCGTTCAAAAAGGTTTGGCTGACATTCTTAAGTCATAATTATCCTTTGTGAGCAGGACACAATCACATTCAGATGATACAGTATACACACATTGAACAAAAGGCAATCATCATTAGTCTTAGTCAAGAGGAAATTTCAGCAGATAATAAAGCCTCTGTCCCAATACTCCACATTTGACTCCATCAATTTCGTGAAAAAATTACCCGTTTTTTGCCATCGGCACAGTTGAGTTGATGAACAAGCGATCGAGCATAGGGCTATCTGAGATTCCCGAGATTTTAGCTCCCATGAGAGCTGACATGGCAGCAGGTGAATTTGGATTGCTCATCACATCTTGTAAAATATCCCCTATTCGGGACAGAATCCTGAATGCTAAATTGAACAGGACACGCGAGTAGGCTCCTAGAACCGAGTGTCCCAGATCCTGTAAATTTTGTCCCATGAGAGCTAACTAACACTCACCTTGCCGTATCGTATTTTTGTCACATCAAAAAAAGTCTGAGGCAGATTCGGATACTTAATCTTGAGCTGATGCACGAGCAACTCAGCCCGGTTCACTAACCACTCGAATCTATCGAGCTCGGAATGTGAATCCTTTGCAAAAGGCCATGATGACTGAACAGTTGACTTGTTGTTGACTTGACCGGCAATTTTCTCCATCCAGGCCTATATTGCTGCTTCCAATCTGTTGATGGCTTCGCTTGCACCATGCTCGGATTTTAAGTTCATGCAATTGACCATTTCCTCATGGGGCAGAGATTCGGCATTTAGTATTTTGTTGAGTTCTTCTCCAAGGCTCGCCTTTGCAGACTGAGATAGAGGATAATAGGTGAAAGATGTAAAAATCACAACAAACTCCATTTGAAATAATCTTAGCACTTTATATTTGCAATTTGGAATGATGAATTCATATTTTTTTATTATAAATTTTTACAGACTGATCACAACAAACTCCATTTGATATCTACTTATGGAATAACTGGTGAATAAATTCAAAAATTGGAATGGTTATAAGAAATTAATGAAATGAGTTCACCATTAGTATGATCCTTTTTTTCCAAATATTGATAACAAGGTGACAAATCCACCCCAGAGGATAGTAGTATTTGCAAGAACCCATAAAATTTTCTAAATTACCAACCTCTTTGACATTTTACAATAGTAGAATGTTAAAAACGTTTTTTCCAAACAAGGAGGTAAAGTAAACACAGATTCAAAACTCAAGAATTTTTTTTTTTTTTTGAAACAAATCATGAGGACTACCTTTGGGAGTGAATCCTTGACGACAGCAGGAATCGGCATCGCAGCCAAGATATTTTCATTTATCGACTTTGCAGCTTTGAACACTTGATATACCAATTTACCCTTATGCAACAATCTCTTCCTGTCAATGTTCGAGAGGCCGACTGCCGACACCCGCAGTCAAGGAAGCCACCACCTCATCTTCTTCCAGTTGTCATTTCTGCTTCTACCTTCTGCTTCACTGCCAACCTTAGTGTACCAAAACTCAGTATCCACCATTGAGTCTAGTGAATCCTATCAGTATGAGAAATCACAGTTATAAGCTTAAGATATTTACACAAAAGCTCCTACATTAGGTTATGGAAAAACATAACATCCCTTCAACTGATTCTAATCTATTTTAAAGAGGAATCAAACGTAACGGCGTTTATAATTTTGATTGCTATGGTTTTCAAATTATCCAGTTTATTGTCCTATGTTTCAAATTAACAGATAGAAGGACTCTAAGGGGCTATTTGCAAATTTTCAAAGATAAACTGAGTTCTGTTAAAAAAGAAAGAAAAACCAAAGGTAGATTTAAAGATCAAAGTTGAGAGACCACCTACAATAAGCATGGAATCCAACTTGCACAAGGCTGGAAGATTTATATGGATGTCCCCTCGAGCTTGTGGCGTCATTATCTACACAAAAATTGCAAACAACCTGAGTAAGTACATATTTTTTGGCAAAATTGAACATTAATACATCACCTTTCATCTTTCATGTTTTTGCAATTTAATCACCATATTTGATATTTTGCAACTTAATACACCACTTTTACAATTTTGCAAATCGATAAATGAATGACGGTTCCGTTAAATAGAAATCTGACATGGCTATGACGTGGCTTAATGCCATTTTCGTTATATTTTTGTTAACAAAACCGTCATTCATGTATCGATTTGCAAAAATGGTAAAGATGTATTAATTTGTAAAATATAAAAGGTGGTGGTGACTAAATTGTAAATACATAAAATGTGGTGTATTAATATGCAATTTGGCCCATATTTTTTTGTTCAAACCTCAACAAATATACATATTTTTTTTAGAAATTGATTAAAGAACAAATCGTACCTATAATGTTCGACCATTAACGCCACCTTGTTTTGAGGGAACCAACTCGGCCATATAGTTCGTTGGGGAAAGCCGCCACTTCATTTCCCTTCGCAAATTTCCCTTTCTTTCATCGGGCAATGGCTCTAACTTCCAAAGCTACCCATATACGGAAGCTAAAAAAAAAAAAGAACCGTACTTGTACTTGAGCTAGTATGGTAACAGTTGGCGTGCTTACAATCGGTAAGGGTCTTGCCACAATCAATAATTTTGTCCGAGACATCAAAACAAAACCGTACTTCAATTAGTCCCTTGTGGTTCCTTTAACAAGATTTTTAATCTTCTGACATAAACTTATGATGGACTCTGTTTTATCATAACCCAAGAAATATTCCAGACCGCCTCCAGTGATGATATCTATATACGATTTATAATTCAGAGTTTTGAAAAAATACTGAAACTGAGATCTAGCATCATACCATGCTTCTTCCACTCATAGGCCCAAAAGCTTTCGTCGTCGCCCAGGTGGATATCCACACATTCATTCTCTAACTTAGCGCAACCATTCAACCAATTTCATGATGAACACTACATTTGCTGGATTTTTTTAATCTGGACAAAGGATGACTGACCCCATGTCAAATGACCATAAACTATGCACTATAAACCTCGGTTCTATCGGTGTTCTGCAAGGCGTCGACGACAACCCTGGCAGGACCCCAGGTGAGTACAAGTTGCCAGTATCCATGGTTGCGTATATGCTTCTTCTTAACCTTGTCCCAAGCTGGTGTTGATATAAAGGGTACTCTGGTTGTCGCTGCGAATGTTATTAACGTGATTAAGGCCAAGGTTGAGAAGAAGAACATGACACAACCATTTCTATTGGCAACTGGTACTCATCTGGGCCCCGACTTTCACCTCGAACAAGGGTCAGGGTTGTCGTCGACGCCTTGCAGAAGACCGATAGAATCGAGGTTTACAGTGCATGGCTTATGGTCATTTGACATGGAGTCAGACATCCTTCATCGGATTATTAAAACCCAACAAATATAATGTTCATCATGAAGTTGGTTCAAGTTGAACGGTTGCACCTGAAGTTAGAGAAGGAATGGTCGGATATCCATCTGGGAGACGACGAAAGCTTTTGGGCCTATGAGTGGGAGAAACATGGTATGATATGCTCCCTGAGTTTCAGTATTTTTCAAAAGCCTTGAATTATAAATCGTTTATATATATCATCATTGGAGGCAGTTTGGAATATTTCTTAGGTTATGATAACACAGGGTCCACCATAGGTTTATGTCAGAAGATTGAAAATCTTGTTAAAACAATACCGAATCTGGTGTGCAGCAAGAACCACAAGGGACTGATTGAAGTATGGTTTTGCTCTGATGTCTCGGACAAAATTATTGATTGTGGCAAAACCCTTACCGATTGTAAGCACGCCAACTGTGAGAATATTGTTAGTATACCAACTCCACCATTCGAAAGCGCAAGTTCAGCCGAAACACTACGAGCCTTGCCCGTGACATCATCGCCGAGCAACAACTTTGCGAACTTCTCCTTCATTATGTCGATATCCAAAAACCGAGCTGAAATGTAGTGCTTTTGTTTTTCGTTAAGGTTGAGGCACTTGGCCATAGGGGCCCACTTGTCTTTATTGAGAGAGGAAAAGGAGCCAAAGGGGTTAGTGGTAGTGGAGAAGGAGGCTAAGTCATCCTCGTCAAACGAGTCACTCATGCACCTGCTCGTTCTGCTCTCATTCTCATACGATTGGCTGTTGAGAATGCACGTCTCAAGCCCGTTGTACGTCATTATACTTACAAAGATAAATAAAATTAAATAAAGGTTTAAACTTTTATTATGAGTAGGGGAAATGGGCTAAATGGTCTATGGTTTGCAGTAAGGTACTATTAATTGCACAAAACCCCCGAGCTACTTTATTTTTAATTATGAAACTACCATTTCATATGCAGACACTATGCCATTGACTTGGAAAGTCATGGGAATCTAATCTTGAGTCCAAAACAAGTGATGTGTTTAAGGTTTTACATGGCTCTAGTTTAAAAATGTTGTTATGATCAACCACTGATAAATGTAGTACAATGTAGTACAGAAGAGGCTTACAATCCCTCCAATTATTATTTGATTGACAGACAGTGAAAAATATAAATCTTCGAAGATTGTTAGGTAACAAAGCGTAGTTCATAAAAACGTGGAACAGCTTGTTTTGTTTCAGATTCAATTTTCACCTTTCTAGGAATCAAACTGGGAAAAAACAATCTTTTAGATCAATTACGAAATTAAGGGTGGTTTAAATTCTGATTTCTATTTTCCAATTTATGTTTGAAGCATACCTACCAAAATCATAAATTATAGAAGGAATCTTGGTATAAAGAATTTTTTATTGAACTCCAAACTACAAAGTCAAGATTATTTATAGCTAATGGAAACAAGACAAAACAAAACGTGAAGTGAATGGATGAAGGAGATAAAAAATTCTGGATCGATGTAGATCCAATTGAGAACCATGTAATTCTTTTAAAAATAAAAATTTCCAAAAGACAAAGACTCGTATCTCAATTACCAAGTGGTCAGTCCAGTATTCTTATAGCTAGGAATGGGAATTGTGCTTTTTAAAATTAACAATACAATAAATGATATTTAAGTTACTGGCACACCAATTATATTAACATTTATTTTACAAAAATACAAACTCATATGTGCCCCCCTAATAAGATGCTACTGATATTTACTAAGGAAGTTAGTGTTCTTATGCCGAGACAGTTATGTTGAACACTTGATTGAACAAAAATTGAATCCAGACCAGTGATTTAAATAGCGTGCGGCGAGCCGAGGCGACAAGGCTCCGATTTGCCATGGCGTGAGGCGTGAGGCGAGGCGCCCGCCTTATGAAAGCGAGGGGAACAATAATACAAAAAAAAAAGAAATATATGTACACTTGACAGTTTACCAAAAAGAGTTAAATTTATAAAAACATAATTAAGTAAGTACAAACACCAATTATTTAACATTAAAATAAAAATAAAATAAAAGGTATGTTGAAATAAGCATGATTAGCCCACCATGATCCCAATTAAAATAAGTTCAACCCCACCACATGATTCCAATAATTTCAATTAAAGTAAGTGTAAATGATGTCCCACAATTTATTACAAAGAATGCTATAAATTATTTGAAAAAGGGTCCCAGGCCACCCATTACACCCCATTACATTAAACAGGGAGCAACATATAATATTTGTTTGAGCAGAAAAAAAAATTACAAATGTAAAAGATGTCTTAAGAAACAACGGTTGACTAACATTTATTAAATAGACATTAGTGAATATTTTGCAAACAACTCGGTCTAATGAGCAAGACATATGGGATGTTAGCACAAAATAGGTCCCAGGCCACCCACTATGCGATTTTTATATTTGATAAATAGAATAAAAAATGTTAAAAAAACTTACACAAAGTTACAGGACCACTTCGGTTTTCATCATAAATTAATAAAAAAAAAAATCTCAACACTTTAACAAAGTCCCTCCCAGCGGACGTTTCATCCAGAAAAGAAAAAGAAAAAGGAAAGCAAACAAAGAAGATTTACCTCTTTCCGTCGCCATCGCCGTCGCCGGTGGGTTGTTGAAAGCTGGTCGCCGTCACAGTTGGAAGAGAAGCCCCAAGGTAATTTTGCGTGTGCGTAAGTAATTTTTGTTAATTGGAGATATTTTATCTCCCCGTATGGTAAAACCCTAATCATGAAAATACGTATTTGCTCTGACTCGCCTCACGTTTACAAGGCGTCGCCTCGCTCTATGTAGCTATACAGCCAAGGCGACGCCATGGCGACGCCTTTCCAAAGCCCGCCTCGCAACAAGGGTCTGAGGCGACAAGGCCAAGCCCCGCCTCGCCTCGCGCCATGGCGACGCCATGGCGCGCTATTTTAATCACTGATCCAGACAGCCTAAAAGTCCATCAAAATACCAAAACAACAACAACAACAACAACAATAATAATAATAATAATAATAAAAGAACCGAAAAAAGGAAAAACAAAGGAACCAAAAAATCTCTATGCGCTCCAATTTCAACTTGCACAATAAAGAGAAGGTGCAAATAAATTTTGAAATGTTGGGGGGCCACAATGTTGACTATCCAAGTGCAATGGGCTTAAAGAAAAATGAGGGACCCACCACCAATTATTAACCATTTTGAACTCCAAGTAAGGACCAAATGAATTATAAAATAACACAAATTGTTGAATGGGATAACAAAAACACAAAGATGAATGGGAGACAATTGATCAGTGCCTAGTGTGGCATGGCATAGATCTGGAGGAAATAAATGTAAATAAATGGACTCAGGGAGTAATCCCACAAATGGTCAAATATGTGCCACTGGATATCCATGTGGTACATTTATTTCCAACAATGAATGTGTACAGAGAGTGTATGTGAAACAAGGACAATCTATGTCACCAAACACAATATTCAGATTTTTCATGTTTGGACCATGTAAGAGTTTTAAGGCTTTAAGCCTCAAGAGTTTAAAATTTCTTTTTCTCAACTAGTGGGTAACATTAGGTACACCACCAGCAATTGTAAGATATAAACAAATACAAGTCAATTGTACATTATTAAACGAATAGGAGAAAAAAACACTCATGATTTCAAAATAAAGAAATGTCAACCAGATAAAGAATTTGCCTTTTACCTTTTCTTTATATTTTTTAAATAGGGGGGATTTAGCATGATAATGTATGCAAAAACAACACAAGATATATGCAATGTATAGTTACATCAAATTGAAAAGGTATAAAGAGAGAACTTTACTCTCACATTCATCAAAGTTGAAGCTAATCTCTCCCATGTCCCTCGTGCAACAGGCTAACCTTCTCCTTATCATCATTTTCCTCGTCTTCTTTACTTTACCGAGCTCGTCCTACAAAAATCTATTATTGATATGCATTAGTAAATAAACTTTCATGATACATACTTGGATTTCAATAATTAATGAAAACAAAGCTCATTTCTCAAGATTAGAATTTACAAACAAAAAATAAAGGTATATCAAACTAATTGATGGAAAAATACTAGAAAATGTGAACAATAACCAGTTCTAAGTTCTCGCTCAGCCCATGCGAAAAATAACCAGTTCTAAGTTCTAGCTCAAGCTCAGACCAAATTCTAAAATAACCAGTTCTAAGTTCTAGCTCAAGCTCAGACCAATTTCTAAAATAACCAGTTCTAAGTTCTAGCTCAAGCTCAGACCAAATTCTAAGGCGGTTTCTGCTAATCTATTTTCTTCGAGTGAAAGATAAAAATCAAGCAAAACAATATGGAATAAGAACATAAATAAAGGATAAAACAGAAGCACACATACAGTGAATAACAAAAATTGCGGACACTTGCTCCCTTGCACTCTTCATACAAGTAAAGTCACATTATAATATGGTCCAAATCTCTAAACCCAGAGCTCCAAAAGCAAATAAAATTAAATGATTTTACTATAAAATCAATCCTGGTGAGTTGACTCAGTGGCTCAAAAGAGTCTAAAAGAGCACGCACGAATCAGAAGTGAGTTCAAAAATAAAATAGAATAAATACAACGAGTGCATACATAGACATAGTATTCCATTGTGAAGGCGAAATTTCTTGTGAAAAGTACTCTAAAATGACGCAAGAAAAAAGAGGAAACCTAAAAGTGCTTACAAAGAACCTTTGACATAATGAACAAAAGCTTTCTTGTTTATTTATTTGTTTTTCCCAGATAAAAGGAACGAGCAAAAATGAAAAATGAACTACTTATGATTAAATAAGCGGTGGAGGCAGGATAAACACGCACACACACTATGATACGGTTGTGTGTGAACAAATTTTGCATTCTTGTAATCAACTGAAAAAATGGAAAACGGAAAGAAATCCCTGATGGATTTATCTCACATTAACAAATAAAAATAAAATGGCATGGATCGAGCTTGTATCACTTGGGCTAACTGTTGTGTGGCCATCCCGATTCAACCGCTTCACTCATTGGGTGCACGTCACACACACGCCACGCACCTGGTCACCCCGTCACCTAAGCCCATGTCTCACAAAGAGACTCGCCTGGAAGCCCAAAGAGCTCTAGCCGGCGATTGCAGCTCGACGACGGTGCGACGGCACGATAGCGGCACTCACGGCGGCTCTCACAAGGGAGGTCACGAAGAGAACAGATTACTGAGAGAGAGAGTGATGCGCCTTCTCACAGAGAGAGAGATAGGGTTCTGCGCAGCCATAGAGAGAGAGGAGAGAGAGTGCGATCTGTTCTAGGGCTGAGAGAGAGAGTTATTTAAGGTGTCAAGGGATGGATAGGATTTAATCCCTAAATCCAAGGGTCCAAATTAGAGAATGTTTGTTTATAAAAATTTTTGGGTTTGTTTAGATTTTTTTATTTGATTTGGTTAATTTTGATAATGTGGTATGAATAGTTGTTAGTGGGTATATTAAAATAATGTTTAAAATAAAATAATTAAAATTGATTTGATGTAAAAGTAGGAGAGCGAGATTTGAAGTGATGGCTAGTTAAAATAATGTTGGGAGAAACCGCCATCTGGGTGGGTCAAAGTAAATTCGGACGGCTCTTTTAATCCGTCGTCTGGTATGGGTCGTGCAGGAGGCCTAATCCGCGATGACCAAGGCCATTGGCTTGGAGGGTTTACAATGAATATAGGCGTTTGTTCAATTATGGCAGCGGAATTATGGGGATTACTTCGGGGTCTCTCTCTCTCGCATGGAGTTTGGGGCACAGACACGTCGAAGTCGAAGTTGACAATGCTAGTGTCGTGGCCTTTGCCTCATCTTCTGAAGATGTTCCGAGTGTGCATGCAGGCCTAGTGTCGGGCATTAAGGAATTACTACGTCGTCCGTGGGAGGTGAAGGTGAAACATGTCTTCCGTGAAGCGAATTATGCGGCTGACTTCCTGGCTTCCTTCGCGGCGGGAGGACCTTTGGGGTACCAGTTCTTTCATGATCCACCGGAGGGTCTTAGCCACTGGCTACAACATGATCTAGTTGAAGTGGCTTATCCACGATCCATTTGCAATTTAACTCTCTAGGCGTTTAGCCTCTTCCATTGTACAAAAAAAAAAAATGTGAGTGGCTGAATAGTGAATTAAGGTTGATGTGGTGTGTATGAATGATTGATTGATATTATTTAATTATATTGATAATTTTGATGATAGTGGGATTGAGTTAAAGTTGAGTTAAAAAAAATGGTTGAGTTAAAATGTTGAAATTTTTTTGAAAAATCTCATAAACAAACATGCTCTTAATCTGCCAGGTAAGTGGATAAGGGTTATGTGAAAGTTGATTCACATAACGCTTTTTAAGCGTTATCTAAGGAGACTGATCTTCAGATAACACTGACTCCGATAACGCTTAAAAGTGTTATCTGTAAACGAATAAAAGCGTTATCTGAAGTCTTTTTTGGCGTAGTATAATGCCGAATTATAGATCGTAAAAATATGATTAATTTCATTTAGCATATATAAAAATGGTAACAAATATAAGTATTATTAACTTTTAAAATATATTTATAATTTAAGTTAGCCAAGTGTTTAAATTTGAAAGTTCTAGTAAACATGGATAAAAAAAACTATACATTTATACGTAAGAAGATAATCCATACGAAACTCTTTATAAAATAACATAACCTAAAATGATGACCACCTTTAGGCTTTTTTAAAGTAATAAATTATATTTCAAAAGAACTTGTTTATAACTCATACAAAAATTAAATTATGGAAACAGTGTTGTATAATATTTTTGGTATATTTGTTAATGATAATAAAAACGGGAAATCAAATAACCATATCTCATTCTCCATTTCACTTTTGAATATCAAGTCAAAGACATTGAATAGGGAACCCATCAAGACTCGATTGCTTCAACGATTTATTTAATTGTTAATATAAGTACTTTAAACAATATGGTTAAAAATATTCTTCAACTATTTTTGGCTCTGGCTCATGAAAATTTTTGGATCCGCCGCCGAGTGTGGCATAGATCTATTTGTTGCTGGAGGAAATAAATGTAAATAAATGGACTCAGGGAGTCATCCACAAATGGTCAAATATGTGCCACTGGATATCACGTGGTAGATTTATTTCCAGCAATGAATGTATACAGAGAGTGTGAAACAAGGATAATCTGTGTTACCAAATTCTCACATGGTATCAGAGTCGGCTCTATTAGTGACCGTGCAATGACGTACTCGTCACCCAGCCAGTTGGACTTGGGATTCCGAATGACTCACAAGTGAGGGGGCATATTAGAATATTACGTGTGAGTTGTCCCACATTGTTCATACATGGAAAATAGACACACTTTATAAGTCTAATGGACTACTCCTCCTTCCACCAATTAGTTTTGGGATGGAAGCCACTTGGACTTCATATGAGCTTTCCCCGCTTTGGTGCGTTTCATGTTAGTGGGTCCGCACCCATTTTTCCTCACTTTCTGTCAAATATAATAGTCAGATTTTTCACGTTTGGACCATATAAGAGTTTTAAAGCTTTTAAGATATAAACAATTATAAGTCAATTTTGGACCATATAAGAGTTTTAAAGCTTTTAAGATATAAACAATTATAAGTCAATTGCACATTAAAAGAATAGGAAAAAAATAAAAAAACTCATGATTTCAAAATAAGGAAATGTCAACCAGCTAAAGTTTTTGTCTTTTACCTTTTCTTTATATTTTTTAACTATGGGGATATAGAATGATAATCTATGCAACTAACAACACAAGATATATGCAATGTACAGTTGCATCAAAGTGAAAAGGTATAAAGAGAGAACTTTACTCTCACGTTCATCAAAGTTGATGCCAATCTCTCGCATGTCCCGTTAGATATATTTGGGATTAAATACGTGTAATTAATACATTGAGTCATCATAATGTTTAGCCAAATTAAATGATCAAATTATTGTACATTGGCTAAGGGGCGGTTGTATATAGATTGTACAAAAAAAAAAAAAAAAAATCAATCAAAACTCAAATTTAACTCAACTTCAACTAAACTCCACTATCTCTAATATTAACAATATAATTAAATAATATCAACCAATCATTCTTACACATCACATCAACTTTAATTCACTATTCATCAATTCACATAATTTTAACTAACCATTACTTCCAATCATTTTCTCCTACCTTTGCATCAAACCAACTTTAATTATTTTATTTTAAATATTATTTTAATATATTCACTAACAACTAACCATACCACATTTTTTCAAACTTAACTATAGTTAAAAAAAATCAATTTTTAACTAGTTGAATTCATATCCAATCACCCCATAAAGAACTTAATTTAGATTGTTAAATGATTAAATATGGACACCCGTTAATATTATTATTTGGTGACGTAACAAATTATAATATTAAATTTAAGGACCTAAATAGTAAATAATTTGGGTCAATTATTTATAGGAGTAGTCCCAAAAAATCGTGATAAGTAAAAGGGGGATATTGTCTCTTTCTTCAATAAAAAAGAAGATGTCTCTTTCTTCAATTATGGAGATGAAAGTCGGATCCATCAGATCAATAAATGAACCCCATAAGGCTTATTATCTTCATTAACTCTACTTTTATTTTGAGTGAAGAATAGAAGGAAGATAATATATCTCATATTTATCTTCTTCATTATCTTCTTCATTACCGCACCTGCATAATATCCCGTTGATTCCTCGGCGAACAAAGCACGCGAACCAGCCCCTTGTGGACAAGTTGTCTGTCGATATCCAAGCTTGTCGCACAGGATGAATCGAATCCCGCCATCAGCCTGCTGCACACCCGTGGCTGCTGTCTGCCACGATTCATCGAGCGAGGGCCGCAGCCATCCACTGGCCGCAGCGTCGAGCCCGAGTACATGCCCACAACAACTGCCCCACGTCCGGACTACACACCAGCACTTGCAGCACTCATAGACGCATCTGACTGAGAGGAAGTCGCAATGGACGAACCTGTCTTTCGAGCCAACTGTTTCTCAACAACGAGAGCTCGTAGATGTGCATCTGAAATAGACTCCGAGAGAAATAGCTTAAGCATATCCTGTACAGCAGCAGTCAAACCCCCCACATAACGTGCAACCAACTGGCTCTTCGTCTCACGTACCTCCACATGAGTTAAGAGGCGATAAAAGTCCGCCATATACTCATCAACCAAACGCGGTCCTTGCCGCAAATTATGCAACTAATGATAAACCACATGATCAAGGTAGGAACTCACGTTCTACGTACTTACAGAATTGCATCCAAGTTGAGATCTCTGGCTTCCTTTGTCGATGCCGAAAACTCATGAGTTGCATCCACCATGCTGCCGCTCGTCCCCGAAAGCGCGAGGCGACAAGCATGACAAGCCTTTTGTCTGGCACCTCCTTAAATGCGAGGACAGACTCAACTGCAACCCACCAGTCGAGAAACTCCGCTGCGTCCACTCCTCCGAAAAACTCGGGAATCTCCACCCGAAACCTTAATTATGACCCGTTTTCGTCCATTAGTCGGTGAAAATCACCTGGGTACAGCTCCTGGCCCGCGTCTGCCCGGCCAAAATCTTGCTGCTACTGCTGCACGTCATCCAGGAAACCCCAATCCCACTGTTGCTGTGCGCCAGCGTGGATGTCTCGTCCAGCACGTTCATGGCCCCAGCCGCGATGGTGTAGATCTCCGCCATCGAGCCCAACGTCGTGCCGTTTAAACCACCCACATCATCGTTGCTATTTGCCGACGTCTTAAGGGCCCCAGCCGTGATGCCACTGGTCATCACCGTCGATCCAATCACGGCGCCGGCAATCACCCGCAAAACCCTGATCGTCGCGCCGCCCCCTACAAGGGTGTTGGTTGTCACCGGCCAGTCGCGGTTGCCTGCGGCGTCACGGTCCAAGCCGAAGGCTCGCGCCGCCTTGTCCGTCGAACTCGCCCTCCTCGTCATGTCACGGTGATCCTGCAACTCCGCGAACGGGTTAACCACAAAGATGGTCTCCTCATCGTCATCATCGCCGAACGGGGCAGTTGTGGTGGTCGCCAACGGGGAGCCCCGCCTAGACCACGGCCACCATGTCCACCGCGAAACCCTCCATGCATGCCTCGGTCGCCGACGTCGCAGTTCTTATGCACCTCTTCCATCATGGTTCGCATAGCCAGGCTTGACTCCTCGATCACAGTGGAAAGGTCCGCAAATCGATCATCCATCTCTTAAGTCCGATCGTCCATCCATTGCAATCGGTCGCCGATGACAATATCGTTTGCAGCATTCCCTCTCTTTGGCGGCAACGCGAATCGTTGCTGGTCTCTAGATACCAACTGGTGTAGAACGTGAATAAGAACGGGAATATACGAGATAGTCTCTCGTGAAGAACTCACAATATCATATAAAACTCGACTTCATTCATCGATGGGCTATAAGCAGAAAACATAAATATATAGTCTTAGACTCCCCAAAAACCTAACTTGCTAAACAAGATAAAATGAAATAATTATTTTCCTAATTCTAAGTAACATAAATAAGGATATCTAATAAGAATAAGTAGAAAGGCAATAAAATAATTAATTAAGTAACGGCATCCGATCATATTTATCGAGGAACGCGAGGGCGATCTCGTCTCCATCACTTTGTGACAAGGACAAAATTACATTATAACTTACCGGATCACATTCAGATGATACAGTATACATACATTAAGCAAAATGCAATCATCGTTAATCTTTGTCGAGGAGAATTTCGAGCAAATAAGCCTCTGGGAGGGATATCGCATCCCCTTTTCCTCCTTCCGGGTTTTTTTTTATCCCACTTTCATAGATAGGGTCGATGTAATTGAGGCTCGATGTAATTGAACAGAACTAACTAACTTCCTCCACACGACCCTCGACATCATGACAGCCATCAATTTTGTGAAAAATTACCCCTTTCTGCAATCCGCACAGTTCAGTTAATGAACAAGTGAGTGCCTGACACGATCGAGCATAGGGCTGTCTGAGATTCCCGGTATTTTAGCTCCCACGAGACATGGCATGGCAGTAGGTGAGTTTGGATTGCTCATCACATCTTCTTGCAAAATATCCCCTATTCGGGACAGAATGCTGAATGCTAGATTGCTCATCACACGCGAGTACGCTTCAAGAATTGAGTGTCCCACATCCTGTAAATTTTTTACGAGTGCAAAAAAAATTACAAGAATCAGCCCAAATGCAACCCAAAATTACCTCTCAAATTTAAAAGAGTAAGATAATATACTAACACTCACCTTGCCATATTGTATTTTTGTCGCATCAAAAAATGTCTGAGGCAAATTCGGATACTTAATCTTGAGCTGATGCACGAGCAACTCAGCCCGGTTCACTAACAACTCAAATCTATCGAGCTCGGAAAGTGAATCCTTTGTGAAAGGCCACGATGGCTGAACAGTTGACTTCTTGTTGACTTGTCCGACAATTTTCTCCTTCCAGGCCAATATTGCTGCTTCCAGTCTGTTAATGGCTTCGCTTGCACCATGCTCGGATTTTAAGTTCATGCAATTGACCATTTCCTCAGGGGACAGAGATTCAGCATTTAGTATTTTGTTGAGTTCTTCCCCAAGGCTCACCTTTCCAGACTGAGATAGAGGATAACAGGTGAAAGATGTCAAAATCACAACAAACTCCATTTGAAATAATCTTAATTAGAACTTTATATTTGCGATTTTGGATGATGAATTCTTCTTACAGCCTGATCACAACAAACTCCATTTGATATCTACTTATGGAATAACTGGAGAATAAATTCAAAAATGGAATGATTATAAGAAATTAATGAAATGAGTTCACCATTAATATGATCCATTTTTTTCCAAACTAGTGTGTACCCCGTGGGATGCACGAAAACAATATTAAATTAACAATATTATAAATAGACATCGAGTTTGAGTCACTCAATGGCGAAAGTGGAAACTACTATTGATCCTATTTAAAAAGAATAAGAAAGAAAATAATTATAAATTAAAGAGGAGAGTAAACAATACTTAAAAATTATAAATTAAAGATTCGGGGTCAAACAATGTAAAATTATTTTGTATAAGGGAATATAAAAAAATTTGATTACACACCATTTCAAAATTATTATTATACTTTTTGTATGGTTAGCTTATAATATTTGTAAAAATATTAATAATTAGACCGATGAAAATTAGCTTCTTAAAGTAGATAATGGATTTCTAGTAGTAATTATGAATTGATTTCTATTTTATTTTATTTTTTCTTTTTAAAGATAATGGATTTCTAGTAGTATTATGAATTGGTTTCTATTTTATTTTATTTTTTCAAATCTGTATAGATAAGGGATGATATTTTTTAAACACGTGAGACGTATGTAATGGGATTTTGTAACAGAAGAAATAAACAATGGGATTTTGTAACTCGTGTAGATTTATACTAAAAATAGGAAAAAAAAAATAAATATTTATTGTCAAACAACGATTTTGATAAACTAAAAAAAGGGAAAAAGAGAAACAAATCTTTACACAATTAATGAGCCGATTTTTTTGCCTATTCAGATTTGTCCAACAATTACTTATATATAGAATATATTTAATGATTTTGGCGGGAAAAAGTTTCTAAATTTGTAAAAAAGTTATTCTTTTTATATAATAATAGATATTGATAACAAGGTGACAAATCCACCCCAGAGGATAGTAGTATTTGCAAGAACCCATAACTAAATTACCAACAGATCCATCCTCTTTGACATTTTACAATAGTAGAATGTTAAAAACGTTTTTGCCTAGGAAGGAGGTAAATTAAAAAGATTCAAAAGTCAAGGATTTTTTTTTTTGGAACAAATTGAAAATTTATTTAAAAAGAACCAAAAAATAAAAAATAAAAAAATCGTGAGGACTACCTTTGGGAGTGAATCCTTGACAGCAGCAGGAATCGGCATCTCAGCCAAGATATTTTCATTTATTGACTTTGCAGCTTTGAACACTTGATACACCAATTTACCCTTATGCAACAATCTCTTAATCTCAATGTCCGAGAGGCCGACTGCCGGGACCCGTGGTGAAGGAAGCCACCACCTCATCTTCTTCCAGCTGTCATTTCTGCTTCTACCTTCTGCTCGACTGCCGACCATAGCATACCAAAACTCAGTACCCATCATTGAGTCTAGTGTTTCCTATAAGTATCAGAAATAACAGTTATGAGCTTAAGATATTTACAAAAAAAGGTCCTACATTAAGTTTTTGGAAAAACAATAAAACCCTTCAACTGATTCTAATCTATTTTAACGAGGAATCGAACATAAGGGCGTTTATAATCTTGATTGCTATGGTTTTCAAATTATCCAGTTTATTGTCTTATGTTTCAAATAGAAGGACACAAAGAGGCTATTTGCAATTTTTCAAAGATAAACTGAGTTCTCTTAAAAGAAAAGAAAACCAAAGGTAAAATTTTAAGAACTAAGTTGAGAGACCACCTACAATAAGCATGGAATCCAACTTGCGCAAGGCCGGAAGATTTATATGGATGTCCCCTCGAGCTTGTGGCGTCATTATCTACACAAAAATTGCAAACAATCTGAGTAAGTACATATTTTTGGCAAAATTGCATATTAATACACCACCTTTCATGTTTTTGCAATTTAATCACCACTTTTGATATTTTGCAAACTAATACACCACTTTTACCTTTTTTGCAAATCGATACATGAATGACGGTTCCGTTAAACAGAAATCTGACATGGCTATGACTTGGCTTGATGCCATAGCAGATTTTTGTTAACAAAACCGTCATTCATGTATCGATTTACAATTATGGTAAAGGAGATGTATTGATTTGCAAAATATCAACGGTGGTGATTAAATTGTAAAAACATGAAAGGTGGGGCATTAATATGCAACTTTGTCCATATTTTTTTGTTCAACCCTCGACAAATATACATATTTTTGTTTAGAAATTGATTAAAGAACAATTCGTACCTCTAATGTCCGACCATTTACGCCACCTTGTTTGGAGGGAACCAACTCGACCATATAGTTCGTTGGCGAAAGGAGCCACTCCATTTCCCTTCGCCACTTTCTCTTTCTTTCCTCCGGAAATGGCTCTAACTTCCAAAGCTCCCCAAATACAGAAGCTATAAAAACACAAAACCATTCCATCTTTCATAAAAAGGATTGGAATAGAGATTTATTTTCCTAATTCTTCTTTGTCAAGTAAAATAGAAAGCATACCCGCTAGATTTGTTATAGCATTCGAAAGCGCAAGCGCAGTCGAAACACCACGAGCCCCGCCCATGACATCATCGCCCAACAACAGCTTCGCGAACTTCTCCTTCATTGTGTCGATATCCAAAAACCGAGCCGAAATGTGGTGCTTTTGTTTTTGGTTGAGGTTGAGGCACTTGGCTATGGGGGCCCACTCGTCTTTCTCGAGAGAGGAAAAGGAGCCAAAATGGTTAGTGGTGGTGGAGGAGGAGGCTGAGTCATCCTCGTCAAACGAGTCACTCATGCACACGCTCGTTCGGCTCTCATTGTCATATGACCCGCTGTTGAGAATGCACGTCTCAAGCCCGTTGTAAGTCATTATCCCTGAAAAGATAAATAAAATTAAATAAAGGTTGAAACTTTTATTGTGAGAGTGGGAAATGGACTAAATGGTCTATGGTTTGCAGTAAGGTACTATTAATTACAAAAAACACACCAGCTACTTTATTTTTAACTATGAAACTACCATTTCACAGACACTATGCCATTGACTTGGCAAGTCATGGGAATCTAATCTTAAGTCCAAAACAAGTGATGTGTTTAAGCTTTGACATGGCCTTAAACTAGCGCTAAACATGTTGTTATGATCAACCACTCATAAATGTACAGAAGAGGCTTCCAATCCCTCCAATCATTATTTGATTGACAGTGAAAAAATAAATCTTCGAAGATTGTTAGGTAACAAAGCGTAGTTCATAAAGACGTGCAACGGCTGGTTTTGTTTCATATTCAATTTTCACCTTTCTTTTAGGATTCAAACTGGGAAAAAACAATCTTTTAGATCAATTACAAAACTGATTTCTATTTTCCAGTTTATGTTTGAAGCATACCTACCAAAATGATAAGTTATAGAAGGAATCTTGGTGTAAAGAATTTTTTATTGAACTCCAAACTAAAAAGTCAAGATTATATATATATAGCTAATGGAAACAAGACAAAACAAAACGTGAAGTGAATGGATGAAGGAGATAAAAATTCTGGAACAGATGTAGATCCAACTGAGAACCATGTAATTTTTTTAAAAAAAAAAAATCCCAAGAGACAACGACATTTATTTTACAACAATACAAACTTATATTAACCATTATTTTAAATTAAAAATTCGGGAAATTGTGCTTTTCTAAATTTAAAATAAAAAAATGATATTTAAGCTATTGGCACACCAATATATTAACCATTTATTTTACAACGATACAAACTTATATGTGATTAACCATTTATTTTACAACGATACAAACTTATATGTGCTCCCCTAATAAGATGCTACTGATATTTCCCTGTCCCTTTATGCGGTGAGAGTTATGTTAAACTCTTGGTTGAACAAAAATTGAATCCAGACAGCCTAAAAGTTAACCAAAGTACCAAAAAAAAGTAACTAAATAAAATAAAATAAAAGAACCAAGAAAAGGAAAACTAAAGGAACCAAAAAATCTCTATGCTCTCCCATTTCAATTTGCACAATAAAGAGAAGGTGCAAATAAATTTTGAAATGTTGGGGGCCACAATGTGGACAATCCAAGTGCAATGGCACAAAAACATTAAAGAAAAGGGAAAATTACACTTTGCCTACCGAACTATCCGCGTTTTTACACTTTGCCCACTCAACTTTTTCCGGTGACACTTTACCCCTTGAACTTCACATATTCTTGCACTTAACGACTTCCGGCACCGGAGATGCAAAATCAAGGGCAAAATCGTCATTTATACCTTAGGAGACACCTCAAATTAGTCTTCACGAGTACACTTTGTCTACTGAACTATTCGCGTTTTTACACTTTGCCCTTGATTTTGCATCTCCGGTGGCCGGAAGTCGTTAAGTGCAAGAAAATGTGAAGTTCAAGGGATAAAATGTCACCGGAAAAAGTTGAGTGGGCAAAGTGTAAAAACGCGGATAGTTCGGTAGGCAAAGTGTAATTTTCCCTAAAGAAAAATTAGGGACCCACCACAACTATCAACCATTTTGAACTCCAAGTAAAATAACACAAAATTGTTTAATGGGATTAAAAAAAACTAAGATGAATGTGAGACAGTTTATCAGTGCTTAGACTAGTGTGGCATAGATCTATTTGTTGCTCGAGGAAATAAATGGTAGATTTATTTCCAGCAATGAATGTATACAGAGAGTGTATGTGAAACAAGGATAATCTGTGTTACCTAACATAATATTCGGATTTTTCATGTTTGGACCATATAAGAGTTTTAAGGCTTTAAGACTCGAGCGTTTAAAAGTTCTTTTTATTGAGAATTCATGTGACCGGTGGGTAACATTAGGTACATCACCAGCAATTGTAAGATATAAACAAATACAAGTCAATTGTACATTATTAAACGAATTGGAAAAACAAACACTCATGATTTCAAAATAAGAAAATGTCAACCAGCTAAAGATTTTGTCTTTTATCTTTTCTTTTTATTTTTTAACTAGGGGGGATTTAGCATGATAATGTATGCAAAAACAACACAAGATATATGCAATGTATAGTAAGTTCGGTAGAAAGAAGAGGTACCAAGAGTCGGAAACCGGCTAAAAGAGCAAGGAAGAGGTAACAAGCGTCGTTGACAAGCGATCGGCGATATATCAAATTGAAAAGGTACAAAGAGAGAACTTTACTCTCACGTTCATCAAAGTCGATGCTAATCTCTCGCATGTCCTTCGTGCAACAGGCTAACCTTCTCCTTATCATCATTTTCCTTTTCTTCTTTACTTTACGGACCTCGTCCTGCAAAAATCTATTAATGATATGCATTAGTAAATAAACTTTCAGGATACATACTTGGATTTCAATAATTAATGAAAACACAGCCCATTTCTCAAGATTAGAATTTATAATAAAAAAAAAAAGTATATCAAACTAATTGATGGAAAAATAATAGAAAATGTGAAAAATAACCAGTTCTAAGTTCTAGCTCAACCCAAATTCTTAGGCGGTTTCTGCTAATCTATTTTCTTCGAGTGAAAGAACAAAATTAAGCAAATCAATATGTTATAAGAACATAAATAAAGGATAATAATACAAAAACACACATACACACATATTATATTATGTGAATAACAAAAATTGTGGACACTTGGTCCCTAGCACTCTCCAGACCAATAAGTCGCACTATAATATGGTCCAAATCTCTAAACCCAGAGCTCCAAAAGCAAATAAAATTAAATGATTTTACTATAAAATCAAACTTGGTGAGGTGACTCAGTGGCTCAAAAGAGTCTAAAAGAGCACGCACGAATCAGAAACTGAGTTCAAAAATAAAATGGAATAAAATACGAGTGCATACAGAGTATTCCATTGTGGAGGCGAAATTTCTTGTGAACAGTGCTCTAAAATGATGCAAGAAAAAAGAGGAAAATTTAAAAGCGCTTACAAAGAACCTTTATTTATTTATTTTCTCCTGGTAAAAGGAACGAGTGAAAAAAAAAAAGGTTTCTATTAACATCCAGTACTCTGTGCTCTGCACACATTTAATTTCAATTGTATTTTGGCGATGCATGAAAAATTAACTACTTATGATTTCTTGTAATCAACTGAAAAAATGGAAAACGGAAAGAAATCCCTGATGGATTTATCTTACATTAACAAATAAAAAAAAAATGGCATGGGCCGAGCTTATTTCACTTGGGTTAACAGTAAAAATTGAATCTTTACAACAAACTCTTGGAATTTTATCGAATGGGAGAACAAAATATTAAAGCACTAGGAACATTTTACCTTAAAGTGATTCCAGTACGAAAAGGTGCAAACCTCTTCAAGCCTAAACCTTAAATTAAATGCTGAGTTTATTGGGGAGAAACAGACCAGCAACTGGTTAATGTGAAATGAAATCTGCAGCAATGAGTGAAACTGTGAAAGGTCAAAGAAAACAGAGGTCTGTGGAGGAAAAAAAATGGTTACAATGAACACGAAAAATATTAGTTAATTAATGAGGCTGTAATAGTGAAGCAGCAGCTTTCAGAAATGGCAGATAAGAAAATGAGAAGAGAACATAAAAAGCAAAAATTGCATTTTGTGGGGATTAGGAATGGGCGAGAATATAGAAGATAAATTACTGGTCTAACGCCATTTATTATATACAACTACACAATCTCACACACTCACACATGCGGGTGTGTGTGTGTTTTTTGGAGCGGGGACTGTGAGACACGAGAGTGGTGGGTGGAAAGGAAGATGAAGAAGAGAAGGTACTTGATTTGAGGGCTTTGTTTTAAATAAATAAATAATATCAATTAAAGTTTGTCATTTGCTTTGTACTCACTCAAAATTTTTTGACAAAAGTCAATTAAGTATGGAGTTGGGAGAAATTAATTTTGTCTTTTTAGCAGATTTCTTGAATTTGATCAATCAAGGAACATAAGATTGGGGTGTGTCCGTGTTACAATCCCTCCCCTCTCACCAATGTTGCCAACCACTTATTTGATTATGGCAATAATAATTTGTCACATCTAGTTGACTAGTTTTGTAGGTGATAAATTGCATTTCAGTGCTTCAAATTAAGGTGCATTAATTTTAATTAAAGCAAATATGAGTATTTCAAGATTGTAAAACCCGCCAGCAAAAACATGATTTATGTTTTATAAGGATCATGTGCCTTGACTAAATGATTGTCTCATCCATGTATTCAGTTGGATGTATGAAAAACTGTTGAAAGTGTTCACAGTATAAGAAAGAAACAAAAAATAAAAAATTATCAAACCAATAATTTCACAGCTGAAGAAATGGCAAACAACTCTTCATCTCCAACTTTCCTCCAAATCCCTTCAATCATCAAACAGCCTTTCAAACCTTCTCCACTCATATATTCCTCATTTTGCATGACATTATAACCTTCAATCTCCAACTTCTTATTCGGTCGATAATCCATTTTCTCGACACCCATATCAGCTTCTCTTTTACCAAGAGACGTTTTGTAATCCTCTTCACCACCTGATATCATCTCTTTTTCTTCTTCCCCAACTTCATCAGCACAGTCCAAAACCGGAAGCTGGCCAGAAAACCCAATTTTAGAAGGCAACATCCCAATAGGACATGAATTCCACGATTTTGCCACAGTCCATTTTCTCTTGACTCCAGCCTCAGACTCATCTAACCCTCCATATTTTCCCTTCATCTGTTGTTTCATGAACTCAAAGTCCTCAGCAGCTTGACGAAAACAATTTTCTTGTTCGGAAATCAGGGTTTCATTAGAATAGTCCACCGAGTTTGTTTCCAAATTCGGCAGCTGCTCGAGTAAAGCAAGCTTTTTGAGTTTTTCGAGTAGAGAGATGTTTCCAGTAAGGTGTGAGAGAGTAAGGGCTGATTTCATGAGTTGTTTGTTTCCAAAAGAGGATATTAAGAGACATTTACGTAGCAAGGAGTGTACAGTTTCCATGGGTACTTTTTTCTCAGTCTTGGATTTTTCGCTATCCGAAGATTCTTTGTGGTTAACCAGTTTTAGTGTCTTTAGGTTTCCGATAACCCAAGATAATAAATGTGAGAGTAACTCGATTTTCCGAGCTTTTGTGGAATTTTTGGGAGTTTGATGTTCATCTGGTGAAGATTCAGAAAAGTATTAGTGTTATAATGGATGAAAACAGGAAGCTACATACACATGTAGAGTAAAGTAATATGGGACAAATAACCGTTGAGGTTCAGATAATAAACACAATTATCTTTCCACATAATATATCACAAGACTCTCAGTTTATAGGAATAAACCTCGGTGATAACTTATTTATTCATCACTAATATTCCCCTTGTGCAACAAAATTTCGCATATTACTTTTGTTTGATGAGCTACGAGCAATTATTGACTTTCTGAATACTAATGTGTATCACTATCACTATATACTCACATTATGCTATGGATTAGTAAAATGTCAATCCTCCTCAAAACTGAAGAACCTACTCAAATGACCAAACACAGAAAATCTGGAAAAAAGAGAACGATTGAATTGATTGTTACCTGTTATTTGATCTGTGGTTTCGTTGCTCTCCATCTTCTCAAGAATAACCTGTGTAAGCGTCACAAGAAATTCTGGTTCTTTTCTGGACAATTTCAACACGACAGATTTCCAGTCATCAAACGCAGTTTGCGTATCTTCAGCATTGCTTATAATACCTGAATCCTCCAAGTGGTCAGATTTGAATGTGTCCAATGCATTTAGCAAGTATTCCAATAGAATATAAACTACTTCTGAAGAATATGAAGAATACAGTCGGAGGATATTTTTTAATGATTTGGCGAGATGCTTCTTAGAACCTGAAATATAACCAACCATTATGAATGAGGTGATATATCGGTATAAATGCAGCATGTGTGTGAGTGTATATAAATATGTAATGTGTTCCTAATATTCCACAAAATTTAATTATGTTAATTTACCTGTGGAGTTAGAATGTGATGACTTTCCAGATGTAAGAAAAAGAAATTTACTACGACCACACAAATGTTCTGTGAGTCTTATACCTGCAAGTGGGTGTAAATTGAAGGGAATGAACGATTAATAGACTTTACACTCTAGAAGATAATCGCGGATTTTCAATGCGTAGAAGTAATTTGACATTGATTTTAAATATATATACATATTTATAAAATCAGTATATTTAATTAATTAATGTATGAAGATGAAGGAGCTGCTTTTAAACAAAGTGGGCTTGGTCCCCAGCAAACCTTCAGCGATAAAAATGTCGTTTTTGAAGCCAAACTCAATAGATTGGAAAACAATAAGATAAAATAAAATAAAGTAAAAAATAACACTCACGTTTCCCTTTTACGTATGAGGATTTTGCTATTTGTTTCCCTTTCAGACAGAGAGCAACTTCACGTAATTTGCGCTTGATTTCTTTCCTGAGATTGGCATTAAGTTTGTTTTGAGTAGGAATAGCTTTTTCTTGAGGTTCCCAATAATACCATACCAACCAGTCAAGTGCCTGCATTATTAAAAATGATCCAATGCATTGGGATTAAATTCTACACTAATGGCATGATTGGTAGGAAGGAATGACATGGGAATGGAATGATCATCCCTTTACTCATTCCATATCCCATGATTGGTATAATTTTTGAAAGGAATGACCATTCCAATGGGAATGGCAAAACCCATCTCCAAGAGATTAGTCATTCCATAGTAAATGGACAGTTTTCTCATTCCCATGTGTGTAGTTACTTTTATTTAGTGTTTAATTAAAAAAAAAAATATATATTATTAAAAATATATTATTTTTATTTTTTATATATTAAAAATATATTACTTTTAATAATATATTATTTTTATATATAATTTAAAAATATATTATTTTATTTTTATATTATATATTACTAAAAAAGCATATATATATATAATTTATTAAAAGGATATTATTTTTTTAAAAAAAAGCTTTTATTTATTTTTATAATAAAAAATGATAATGTCATTCCATTCAAGTCCTATTCTTTTTGCATACCAAACACATCAATGACAAAAGTTGTTTCATTCCATTCCCATAATCATTCCATTCTTCAATTCATTCTATTCCTATGCAATTCCATTCAATTATACCAATCATGCCATAATGGCTTCTAAAGACATGGAATGGAACAACAAAGCTCAACAAATGTACAGGTGATGTCATTAGATCTTCTTCCAACAGGAGAGCCTACATTGATGTCTGAAAAAAATCCTTCATTTTATCGATGTGAACAAAAGAAAGACAGTTTTACATAAATAAAGACAGTTTTATTGGTCTTGTTTTGTTACCTATATAGAATGAGATGTGGTAGAGGATCAAGGTAGAAAGCAATAAGGTACACCAGTATTAGTATTAGTTTTTTTTTTTTTTTACACAGTGTAATAAAGTACATATAAAAACATTATCTGACAAATATGATTTTGACAAAGTTGAAGAAAAGAAACAAGAAAGGAAGTGATTGCATAATGCTGGCAATGTTTTGGGTGGATGAAATTTCCAAGGAGCAGTCACTTACACTAACTAACAGAGAAGTATATTACAACCTACCAAAAACAAAGCAACTTCAGCACATAGAACTTCAAGTTATTGGACCAGATAGAATGAGACATTACCTTAATTGATGCAATACGGACCAGTTGAAGAGAAGGAAGATCACGATGGGAACCCTCTACAAGAGTTCAAACACCAGATAGAACTTCAAGTTACTGGAATAGACACAAGAACATACTGCGCCAGCAATTTACTAGCAAACAGTTACACATAAAAAGAATAGTGGGTATAAACTTCATTATGCATTTACCATGACGAACGTCAATAACTATTCTTGGAATACCGAAGGCATCAGCTGCTTCCCCAATTGAAATTTCATTCTTTTTCCGAGTTTTCTCCACCATGCCATTTACAAGCCTTGAGGAAGTATAAAGGAAAAATAAGGATTGAGGATAACAGTTCAAATTGTTATGCATAAAGCCCATAAGAAAGAAAAATCAGAGAAGGAAAAAAGAATCACTTGCCTCACAATAGCCATACAATATAACATGGAGAGCATTTCCTCTGATTCAGAACAGCCATCATTCAATTCATTCCTACATTCATACACAGGAATATAAATTCTAGCCACATGTAAGACCAAAGATTGATCCAATCTATCACTTACATGATTTTACACTGGTTATATTTAAGAAAATTATTGCATACATCTATGCATGGCAGCCCTTATTTGCAGTAACTAAAGCTCACTACAAATAAAATCATTTATCCATGGAGCTTTAAATGCAATAAACAGTAGGAAACGGATGCCAGCTATAATTGAAGGAAGCATTAGAAAAACAATTTGTAATGTCGTTGCTGCTGTGAATTGGACATGAAAAAACGGGTTTTGCTGGAAATTCAAGTTCAGTAACCAACTGGCGTTATCTTCCACCCACCAACAAGAAAAAGTAAAATCAATTGCCAAGGAAGCATCAATACACTAGCTAAACGGTCATCTACACAACACAACAATGGGTAATATGATATTCATGAATTAAAAACACAAACTGACATGAAGTAAGGATCTTGCTGCTGAATCTCAATAATGGACGCAGTTACTTCAACGGCCACAGGGATGCATCCTCTGCTTCGCCACGTGGATATCTATATGAAAATCCACCAACAAAAGTAAATTTGAGAAAATAAAATAAAACCCCCACCATTCATAACTAAATTTGAGAAAATAAAATAAAATCCTTACTCGTTTGAGGGCAGAGGCGACGGCATTAGGGGATGAAGAGAAAAGGGAACCCCTGACAAACTTCCACTCGTCCCAGCTCATCCATGGGACCAGCTTCTTGTCTTCTACGACGTCGTCCTGCAAGTTCTCGTTAAACCCTAACATTGATTCCATTTCCGAATTCCCTCTCATCAGTATAGATCGAAAGGGTCAGAGCAAACGGTGGATTTTGGGGTTTTAGGAAGGAAAGAAAGAGGTTTTAGAGACGACATTTGTTTTTTCTTTTTTCTTTTTAATCAACAGTCTTGATTTATTGGGCCTATCAGATACACACATAATGGGCTAAACCTTATGATCAATAATGGGCCATTCCTAATAATAATGGGCTATATTTGGCGCGTACAGACAACCCTCTAATTCTATTTATAATTTAAACACAACGTTTGGAGAATGAGAGAAAACGACGAGTCTCTACAAATTCCCGCAATCTTTCAGTGCAAGGAAATATTTTCCTTTGTTCAACTTTCTGAAAATTTCCTTGTTTTCTATTCCTTCCTTTTTCTACAGTTTATTTATAAATATCTTCCTTAAATCCCATCTTTACTAGTTAATTTGCGTGTGATTCAACTCTTCAGGACCTGAAATTCGTAAGTACATACAAACTTTTTATCATCTCTGTTTTTTCTTCTTTTCTGATTATCTTCTCTCTTTTTTCTTTTCTTTTTTTTTTTTTGATTTCAT